GGTGCGGTTACTGGAGCGGTTACTGGTATAACCTGGTGAACCGTTCTTATTATAATTATTTATCCGATATAGGCAGGTGTGATGTCTACAATTCGAGCCGCTATTAATGCGTACCACCGGCACTGGCCGGCTGCCAGGGTGCGGATATCGCCAGTGGAGTACCTGGCGTGCTATAACCGTGCTCGTTGGAACTGGTGTGGTTACTGGAGCGACTACTTGACAATATGAAGCCTGGTGAGCCGTTCTAATTTACTTCATAAGATACCTTAGGCAGGTATGACATCTATAATGCAGGCCGCTATTAACGCGTACCACTGGCACTGGCCAGCTGCCAGGGTGCGACAATCGCCAGTGGAGTAGCTGGCGTGCCATAACCGTGCTCGTTGGAACTGCTGCGGTTACTGGAGCGGCTACTGTGTGCTTACCATGAGTTTACGTTAGGTGTGTTCGCTAGCGACTACGTAAAAAAATGACATTAATTGTATGACATATTGTGCAGCGCCCCTAGCGGCTACTTTCAAGAAACAAAATCTTCATAGAGATTTTTGACGTACTCGCTAGCGAGCACACCTAACGTAAACTCATGGTAAGCACACAGTAGCCGCTCCAGTAACCGCACCAGTTCCAACGAGCATGGTAATGGCACGCCAGGTACTCCACTGGTGTAGCCTGGTGAACCGTTCTCATTATAATTATTTATCCGATATAGGCAGGTGTGACATCAATAATGCGAGCCGCTATTAATGCGTAACACCGGCACTAGCCGGCTGCCAGGGTGCGACAATCGTCAGTGGAGTACCTGGCGTGCCATAACCGTTGGAACTGGTGCCGTTACTGGAGCGGTTACTGGTATAACCTGGTGAGCCGTTCTATTTATCAGACTTAGGCAGTTTTTATGATTGTCATGACTATGATTGGAGCCGTTATTTATTAGTTAGTGTTGCAAGAACACTAGTTTTTGATGGCTGCCAGGGTGCGACAATCGCCAGTGGAGCACCTGGCGTGCCATAACCATGCTCGTTAGAACTGGTGCCGTTACTGGAGCGGCTACTGGTGTAATCTGGTAAGCCGTTCTATTTATCAGACAAATTCAGTTCTTAGAGATGTCTGTGACTGTGATGCAAGCCATTATAAGTTCGTGTTCCACTAGAACAGGTTTTTAGAGTGCGATAATTGTCAGTGGAGTAGGTAGAAGTATCTAGAAATGCTGCATGCCTTAGACATAAATTGTTTCTATTTCTTTTTCAGATGGATGGTGACAATCCCAGTAAAAGATTCACGTTGGACTAGTGCTGTCACCACGAAGGAATAACACGGTGAAGCCACTATACTTCGCGCATAAGTTCTATCGACACTCAGAATATGATGAAGAAAATGATTCCTCATTATTAGTGAACCTATGAAATCACATCCTACTAATATCCTTCCTACTTATATAATATTATAAATGCGAAAGTTTGGATGTCTGGATGTCTAGATGTTTGTTACTCTTTCACGCAAAAACTACTGAACGGATTTTGATGAAACTTTACAGTATTATTCTTTATAACTCAGAATAACATATAGGCTACAATTTATGACGATCTGTGACAAACTAAATTTCAAAGCCGCGGGCAAAAGCTAGTGGAAGAATAAACGTTATCTAAACAATTCATTAAACAGGATGACAATAGCGGTAATATGGTTCGTTCAAATAGATGTAATAAGCTNGCTTACCATGAGTTTACGTTAGGTGTGTTCGCTAGCGACTACGTAAAAAAATGACATTAATTGTATGACATATTGTGCAGCGCCCCTAGCGGCTACTTTCAAGAAACAAAATCTTCATAGAGATTTTTGACGTACTCGCTAGCGAGCACACCTAACGTAAACTCATGGTAAGCACACAGTAGCCGCTCCAGTAACCGCACCAGTTCCAACGAGCATGGTAATGGCACGCCAGGTACTCCACTGGTGTAGCCTGGTGAACCGTTCTCATTATAATTATTTATCCGATATAGGCAGGTGTGACATCAATAATGCGAGCCGCTATTAATGCGTAACACCGGCACTAGCCGGCTGCCAGGGTGCGACAATCGTCAGTGGAGTACCTGGCGTGCCATAACCGTTGGAACTGGTGCCGTTACTGGAGCGGTTACTGGTATAACCTGGTGAGCCGTTCTATTTATCAGACTTAGGCAGTTTTTATGATTGTCATGACTATGATTGGAGCCGTTATTTATTAGTTAGTGTTGCAAGAACACTAGTTTTTGATGGCTGCCAGGGTGCGACAATCGCCAGTGGAGCACCTGGCGTGCCATAACCATGCTCGTTAGAACTGGTGCCGTTACTGGAGCGGCTACTGGTGTAATCTGGTAAGCCGTTCTATTTATCAGACAAATTCAGTTCTTAGAGATGTCTGTGACTGTGATGCAAGCCATTATAAGTTCGTGTTCCACTAGAACAGGTTTTTAGAGTGCGATAATTGTCAGTGGAGTAGGTAGAAGTATCTAGAAATGCTGCATGCCTTAGACATAAATTGTTTCTATTTCTTTTTCAGATGGATGGTGACAATCCCAGTAAAAGATTCACGTTGGACTAGTGCTGTCACCACGAAGGAATAACACGGTGAAGCCACTATACTTCGCGCATAAGTTCTATCGACACTCAGAATATGATGAAGAAAATGATTCCTCATTATTAGTGAACCTATGAAATCACATCCTACTAATATCCTTCCTACTTATATAATATTATAAATGCGAAAGTTTGGATGTCTGGATGTCTAGATGTTTGTTACTCTTTCACGCAAAAACTACTGAACGGATTTTGATGAAACTTTACAGTATTATTCTTTATAACTCAGAATAACATATAGGCTACAATTTATGACGATCTGTGACAAACTAAATTTCAAAGCCGCGGGCAAAAGCTAGTGGAAGAATAAACGTTATCTAAACAATTCATTAAACAGGATGACAATAGCGGTAATATGGTTCGTTCAAATAGATGTAATAAGCTTAATATTGCAGTAACTAATATAATCGAGGCGAGTGAGTTACCCTGCAGCAACGCGGCCGCGCACGGTGGCGGTAGGGCGATAAAACGCAGGTATTTTTTTATCATCTAAACAATACAATAGGATGAAATTAGCGGTAATAATGGTTCATTAAAATAGATATTGCAGTATTATCTAAATCGAGGCAAGTGAGTTACCCCGCAGCAACGCGGCCGCGCACGGTAGCGGGTAGGGCGATAAAACGCAGGTATTTATGACGCGTGTGTTTCGTATTGATTCCCTGCGCTGGGCGGGCTGCATAATTATTAGGGAGAGCAGATTTTAATTGTACATAGTTTGTCAGTACATGGTTTTATTAAAGTCATTAAGAAGTGATTACATCAAAGTTCTCTAAATGTGATTGTGATACTTTGATTCTATTTCAACATTCTTAAAACGTTACATTATTAAATCTTTTCTTGAGGTGGTCGTAGGATAAAGTGTGTTAAAGACGAGTATAAAGCTTAATGGACCTTTCTACTTGAAAGCTTCTTCCTAAAGCTGAAGCTTCCACTAAAAACTCATAAGACAAAACTTGCAAACTAATAAGTAAGCAACCCTTGCTTTATTGATTTTCTATAAATATATTTGTTTTAAATCTCCCCGAAAACATTTTACGAAGAGTGTATAAACATAAATGTGAGACTGCAAAGTTTTCAGCAATATTTTAATGTTTTCAATAATACACGCTCAAAATATTTGGAACATTAAACTCCAGTCAGGTATCCGTGTACAGTGCGACAAATAATTAACTGGCAAATTAATAGCGGCCATAAATTTTGCACGTAAATCAATAACGTTTTATGATAAATGTCTCGCTCTCGGCTCTATGGTCAGACGCATAAAGTTAGTAAGTAATAGTTGGGCTAATTGAGGATAAGGTGTTAACCTATATCGGACTCGTTTCGTGCCAAAACTTCACGGTTTATTAAATTACATTGCTATTTCGATAACTTACAAGTTTTGATTTGATTTTTTAAATATTTTTGTCAATGGGCATACTTGATTCTTTGTGGTAAAAACGATAAGACAAAACAGGTTAATTGTCTTTAATAAGCACCTCACAAAACTGACAATTACGAGAAATAAAAAAAACTAACTAACTTTAGAAAGAAACCGCTCAATATAATCTTAAAACGTTTTTAAAATCCTTTGTACAGTAAAANTATATATTATATAGGTACATCCCAACTAATCCCAACTAATATTCCCAACTAATATTATAAATGCGAAAGTAACTCTGTCTGTCTGTCTGTCTGTTACGCTTTCCCGCTTAAACCTCGCAACCGATTTTGATGAAATTTGGCAAAGAGATAGTTTGAGTCCCGGGAAAGAACATAGGATAGTTTTTATCCCGGTTTTTGAAACAGGGACGCGCGCGATAAAGTTTTTCTGTGACAGACAAAATTCCACGCGGGCGAAGCCGCGGGCGGAAAGCTAGTATTATATAAAGTTAGGATATAGTTAGGATTAGGATACATATAATATTATACATATATAATATATTATAGGTATTGATATTATAAATGCGAAAGTAACTCTGAAATTAATGATACAAAAAAAATAATTATGTGTGACAACACTGGCGGCTCGAAAAATGCCCGCGCAGCAACGATGTATTATAATAAGCAATCTGTTTTAGAATTATACATTTTTATTTAAAATTCAATGAAAATATTATCTATTTAAACATTCCGTTTCATATCATTCGTCTGTATATCTCATTCGTCTGTGTATCTCATTCGTCTGTCAGATAATCGATTTCTGTGATCGTAGCGGTGCGTTGGGGCAACGGCGGCATCGGCATCTTTGAATCGATTACGATTTCCCGTCACTAAATGTTGGCTGTGACGTCACAGTAGGTATTAAAAAGTCGGCACGCTTGGTTTTAATACAGATCGTGTTACTTGCGTTATCTATGTATATCTATATCTGTGAATGACACACTCTCACAGGTTTTGCATTGGTTTACTGATAACAACTTATTGTTAAATGCAAACAAAACTAAGTGCATTAAATTTACCTTACCTAATGTGAGGCAGGTTCTTGGACGAATAAACCACTGGACGCGAAACCCTCTAAGAATCTTAAGGAAACACGTTCAACCAATTTTTGCGGGGGGAGAGGTATGACAATTGTCAAATAATGACATTTAGTGCTGGAAATAATCGTCAATTTTTTTTTGTCGATAATTATGTAAATTAACGAGTGAATGAATGAACCTAATGAGATAAAATTGATCATGCGTTGATCATTTTTATTTACAAATTATTTAAATAATTAATGAATTGGATTGATTTAGACATAATATGCAACAAAGTCGAGTTAGTTACACCATATAAAATTAAAGAACGGCAGGATAGATTTTGAAATTGGGATATTGTTAGAAGTTCTATAAGCAGTACCATCCCTCTTATGTGTTGATTGCCGCATTGCAAAGTTCTTGCAAACCAATTTTATTTTTGGTGAGTACCTACCTATGTCTGGCTGGATGATGCTTACAAATACGGTAGTCAGTAAAAAACTTTAATATTTGTGTTGTGTAATATACAGGATGTCCCAAAATTAGCACGTCACGCTGACACCAGAGGTAAATAATGAGCTTAAGACGCAAATAAAATTGGTCATATCTTAAAACTTATGAAACTTTTCTATGGACATATTTTATGTTTCTACGTCAAAATAAATATTTAGGGGTGAGAGGGGGGGGGGATAGGGGGGCGGGGAACCGTTGGTACATTTGACAATTGACATAGACAAGACAAACTATTTACGGTCCGAAACTATGCATAACAAGAAACTAAAACACTTTTGTATGCATATAAATAATTAAGAACTAATAATAATTGTCATTCAATAGTTATAATTACAATAATGTCACTTTCTCATGTTTACTTATTATCATCAAACACATTTTGTTTTAAATCTTTATTTAACATTTTTCTATTTAACTAGTAAAAGTTGTGATTAAATCGAACCAAAAAACTGTGCTGTCAAAATTTGAGTTTCAAACTCATCAACAATCACTCCGATCAATCAATAACACACTGACAAAAGGACTTCTCAGGCTAAACTCTATTCACTATAAAATCACGCAAACCCAAAAGTTTGACATAGTCACTAAATGTTAGCAGTACCTCCAAGCTGTACTTTTTCTCATAACTCCCTCTACCCACTTTCTTCTTCTATTTAGATCTACTGGAAATCTATAATTAATTTGAATAATATCAGTTTCGATAAGTTTATCGACAATTTTCAAGCCCTATACGTCATAAAAAATAAATGTGAACGAATGAATGAAGTATATAATCCAACCAAATTAAATATGCCACACGTTTTAAGCATTTACCTGTACAATGAGAACTTTTTAAAATTACGTGATTATATTTTGTTTACATATCAAATTTTATTTATTTTACGAAAAAATAGCTACTTTAATAGGTTGAAAATGTAATTACGCGTGAGAAGAAACATTCTTTGAGTGATTGGTATAATTTTTACAAAAAAGTACGGCGCATTTACCTATTTTTCGTGATAATTTACTCTTCGAGAGCTCGCGTCATACTGACACCCTGAAAACATTTACCATGGCAAATTAGCCTTGGCAAGTGCTAGCGGGGTAAAGACGAAAACGTCACTCGTTACGCGTCCAGTGGTTTATTCGTCCAAGGGCAGGTTCCCACACAATTGATGGTGAAGAATGAACCATTAAGTAGCATAAGTTCCACAACATTCTTGGGAATCACTTTAGACTCTAAACTTCAGTGGGGTCCTCATATTGAAACCTTGTCAGCAAGGCTCAGTTCAGCTGCTTTTGCAGTGAGAAAGATAAGGCAATTAACTGACATTGAAACGGCAAGGCTAGTTTATTTTAGCTATTTTCATAGTATAATGTCATACGGCATATTGTTGTGGGGCTCAGCTGCGGACATTGAAACTGTTTTCGTTCTGCAGAAGAGAGCAGTGCGGGCCATTTATAACCTTGGACCCCGATTTTCCTTGAGAGAATTCTTTAAGGAGATTAATATACTGACAGTAGCTTCACAGTTCATTTATGAAAACCTTTTATATGTTCGCAAAAATATAGAGCAATTTACTAGAAAGAGTGATTTACACAAGTTCAATGCAAGAAACAAAAATAAACTTGCCGTTCCAAATTTCAGACTGCACAAGATTGGTAATTCATTTATGGGGAAATGTATTAAACTTTTCAATAAATTACCACAAACTGTTGTAGAATTGCCCATTCATAAATTTAAAGCACATATCAAAAGCACCTTAATGAAAAAGGGCTACTATAAAGTTGATGATTATATAAAGGATAAAAATGTTTGGAATGTTTAACTACCTAGCTCGCATTAATACTTATGACTATAATTTGTATATTTTAAAGACTGTAAAACCTTGAAAAGGAGGCTGACAATAGTGACTGAGTTTCTTGCGCTGCTTCTTCTCAGCACTGGCCCATTTATTGTCCCGAAGCAGTGGTAGGGTTAATATTGGGACGTGTAAAAGCGCTTTTTTAAAGCCTATTTGCAAAAATAAATGAATTTTATGAATTTTNGACTTACGCCCTGAGTAACTTGCCTAGGACGAATATTTGAGGGGTGTAAAGGTCTTTTTATTGTAATTTTGAGGGCGTAAAGGAAATCTATCTCAGTAAATACTGCCCTAGTCCAGTTTTTCAATACTTCCTCGGAAAATGCTGTGAATTCTAAGCACTTTCTTCTTAGGTCATATTTTAATAGCTCAAAAAACAAAAAAGTTATTGTCGAATAAAAAAATAAAAAAACGTTTTTTGCTTCTCCTGAAAAGTCGTACTTTGTCCTTTACGACCTTTGAGCCCAGAGGTATCGACATATTTATGAAATAAAGTCAAGTACAATTATTATCTACGTTCAAGAGTCCTCTTTGGAACCATAATAAATTGTATCCCATAATCTGTAACCCTCTATGAGATGGCAATTAATGCAGGCCGCTATTAATGCGTACCACCGGCACTGGCCGGCTGCCAGGGTGCGACAATCGCCAGTGGAGTACCTGGCGTGCCATAACCATGCTCGTTGGAACTGGTGCGGTTACTGGAGCGACTATTGACAATATGAAGCCTGGTGAGCCGTTCTAATTTACTTTATAACATACCTTAGGCAGGTATGACATCTATAATGCAGGCCGCTATTAACGCGTACCACTGGCACTGACCAGCTGCCAGGATGCGACAATCGCCAGTGGAGTACCTGCGTGCCATTACCATGCTCGTTGGAACTCGTGCCGTTACTGGAGCGGCTACTGGTGTAACCTGATGAGCCGTTCTATTTATCAGACTTAGGCAGTTCTTATGATTGTCATGACTATGATTGGAGCTGTATAAATAACGGCTAATAATAATACCTAGTTAGTGTTGTAAAAACACTTGTGTTTGATGGCTGCCAGGGTGCGACATTCGCCAGTGGAGTACCTGGCGTGCCATTAGCATGCTCGTTAGAACTGGTGCGGTTACTGGAGCGGCTACTAGTATAGCCTGGTGAACAGTTCTTATTATAATTATTTATCCGATATAGGCGTGATGTGATGTCTACAATTCGAGCCGCTATTAATGCGTACCACCGGCACTGGCCGACTGCCAGGGTGGGACAATCGCCAGTGGAGTACCTGGCGTGCCGTTACCATGCTCGTTGGAACTGGTGCGGTTACTGGAGCGGCTAGTGGTGTCATTTGGAGAGCCGTTCTATTCATCAGACTTAGGCAGTTCTTATGATTGTCATGACTATAATTGGAGCCGTTATTTATTAGTTAGTGTTGCAAGAACACTGGTGTTTGATGGCTGCCAGAGTGCGACAATCACCAGTGGAGTACCTGGCGTGCCATGACTATATGCTCGTTCGAACTGGTGCGGTTACTGGAGCGGCTACTGGTGTGACCTAGTGAGCTGTTCTATTTATCAGACAAATTCGGCTCTTAGAGATGTGTGACTGTGATGCAAACCATTATAAGTTCGTGTTCCTCTAGCACAGGTTTACAGAGTGCGATAATTGCCAGTGGAGTAGGTAGAAGTACCAAGAAATGCTGCATACCTTATACATAAATTGTTTCTATTTCTTTTTCAGAAGGATGGTGACAATTCCAGTAAAAGATGCACGTTGGAGTAGTGCTGCTACCACGAAGGAATAACACGATGAAGCCGCTTACTTCGCGGATACGGTCTATCGATGATACTCAGTATATGATAAAAAGGAATCATATTATCAGTGAACCTATGAAGTCACATGGAAGAATAAACGTTATCTAAACAATTGATTAAACAGGATGACAATAGCGTTAATAAGGTTCATTAAAATACATATTACTGAAATTTAAGCTAAATCGAGGCAAGTGAGCTACCCCGCAGCAACGCGGCCGCGCACGGTGGCGGTAGGGCGATAAAACGCAGGTATTTATGACGCGTGTGCCCTATTGTTTCGTATTGATTCCCTGCGCTGGGCGGGCTGCATAATTATTAGGGAGAGCAGATTTTAATTGCAAATAGTTTGTCAGTACATGGTTTTATTAAAGTCATTAAGAAGTGATTACATCAAAGTTCTCTAAATGTGATTGTGATACTTTGATTCTATTTCAACATTCTTAAAACGGAATACACTGATATCAGTTTCCGGAATTAAATCTTTTCTTGAGGTGGTCGTAGGATAAAGTGTGTTAAAGACGAGTATAAAGCTAAATGGACCTTTCTACTTGAAAGCTTCTTCCTAAAGCTGAAGCTTCCACTAAAAACTCATAAGACAAAACTGGCAAACTAATAAGTAGGCAACCCTTGCCTTATTGTTTTTCTATAAATATATTTGTTTTAAATCTCTCCGAAAACATTTTATGAGGAGTTTATAAACATAAATGTGAGACTGCAAAGTTTTCAGCAATATTTTAATGTTTTCAATAATACACGCTCAAAATATTTGGAACATTAAACTCCAGTCAGGTATCCGTGTACAGTCCGACAAATAATTAACTGGCAAATTAATAGCGGCCATAAATTTTGCACGTAAATCAATAACGTTTTATGATAAATGTCTCGCTCTCGGCTCTATGGTCAGACGCATAAAGTTAGTAAGTAATAGTTGGGCTAATTGAGGATAAGGTGTTAACCTATATCGGACTCGTTTCGTGCCAAAACTTCACGGTTTATTAAATTACATTGCTATTTCGATAACTTACAAGTTTTGATTTTATTTTTTTAATTATTTTTTGTCAACCGACATAGTGATTTGTGATAAAAACTATTAGACAAATAAATAGAGGTACATTGTCTTTAATGTACACCTCAAAAAACTGACAATTACGATAAATAAAAAAAACTAACTTAACTTTAGAGAGAAACCGCTCAATATAATCTTAAAACGTTTTTAAAATCCTTTGTAGGTACAGTAAAATCGACGTATTTCCGTTTCATTTTCAACTTAAAACAACAAAAGTACAATCAGGCAAATAAAAATGACTCCGAAATTGGTTCTGCAAATAACGACAGCTGTAGCGAGCTCAGGTTGGGAAAGAAGTTGCGACCGGTACGTTCCCGGTAAAAGTACCGGAATAAATACACCAAAGGCATTTAGGTGCGGTACGTAGATTGATATTTTGAGAGTAGATTTAACCAAATATTATGCGAAAAATATTTTTTGTTTTTGTGTCCACGATAGCTGTAGCCTTAAAAAACATAGGTAATCATAATGCTAGGTAAAGAAAGAGAGAGAATACCTACTTAATTTCAGTATTTAATACGAATAGCTTAAATATAGAAAATTAAAATTAATATTTTTGAAAACATGCGACAAGAAAACTTCTAAATAATATCTTATTTACAAATCCTTGTTGCACATACTTATGAAGTTACTGAAGTTCAGAACAATGGAATCTAGTTGCAAAAAGTATCAAACGAATGTTTTTCAATCCAGGAAGAGAAATAGTTCAAAAGCTGCATTCTGCTCTGTATAATTCCCAAAGGTACAGTCGCAGCCACGTGCCGAGCGCCAGGTGCCGCGACCGCACGTCTCTAAATTTAACGTCTTTATTTGTGTTCGACTGTACCGTGTTTTTAATCGCACGCTGCAATATGCAAGCTGCCATTTTAAAATAACTTTGCTTATTCCTGGCGCACCTAGGGTATGGAGGAATAAGTTAAGACTAATTTTACTAATTAAAGTAGTTTTACTTTAGTTGCTNCAGTTGGTTATAAAACTTGATTTGAGTTAAGCTTATTTCAGTTATCTTCTCTTTCTATCCTTTTACTTAAATTGTTCCAGCCATATAGGAGACTAACCTGCCTCATTGAGTCCGAAGGCATCGATGATTACTGATTTTAGTAAATGTCTTACCTAGATGTATTTAATAAATAGAAATCGAAGACAGAACCTCTCAGTCGAGAGAGTCATTGAATTTTGGGGGTATTTTGAATAATACTGAGTTAACGGTACCACCATAGGTGGGTAAACATATTCATAATGAATGACTATACTCGTACTAGTTAAGTAACTTGTCCAAGACTCATTTTTTTCTTTATTTCCAAAAAACAAGATAGGTTATTTAGTTTAACTTCGATAAATCAATATCCAAAACGCAAGGTAAACCCGCAAAAATTTTAAACTATATTTGTCCAAAGCTTTTTAAAAACAAAAACATTTAAAAGAAATAAAACAAGATCAAACATCTCGTTCAAACTCCGAAAGAGCAATTCCCCGGATTCCCCGCAGCAAGGTAATTAAGGCGCCACATTAATATTTGATAACACAATTAATTCGGCCAGGGTTGCCTCGTAAAATTTTCAATTTGCCCAACTTTCACCTGATAAAAGTTAAGTTAGGTAAAGTTGGAGATAAGAAGTGATTACGGGACTCGCTAATTATAATTTGGGAACTCGATTTTGGGAAGGGAGGTAGGGAAATTGTTTTGGAAAGGAATGTGGAGGTTTCGAGGATTCTTTTTAAATAGTTCGCATTTTTAGTTCAATTTGCTAACTCATACATTTCAACTAGGTAAAATACAGTGCAATAATTATAGAATCAAGAATATATTTTGTTTGTTATTGTAAGTACTCAATATCCATTAGAAACAGCCTCGCTTTACTGAGATAAGCTTCTGCAAATCCATGCCTCTAAGACACTACTGAAACTGCACACTTTTGGGAGTAATTCTCATTAACGTCAGATCACAGCTAAAAACAAAGTGAAATGACTCCTAAACGTAATTTGGATTCCATCTTGGTACTTTTCCCTGTTACTGTTCCCAAAATTGTACTCGTAACTAAAACAAGCTAAGCAACTTTTTCTTTCTAAGGTTTAAGAGCACTCTTTTAGTTTCCACGTATAACTTTATTATTACCAACCCCCAACTCCCAACTCAGCCCACCTGCGCGACTAAAGCACGCCGAATATAGCCAAAGTAATAACACGAGTGAACGATATTGTTTTTAAAATAATCTTTACGGCTGCAATAAATGTTTGTTGTTCGTACATCAACTGCACTCTGCATTGAAATCTAAAATAAGAACTATAACATCCGAATATGCATACACCTGGCTGTTGGGAAAGTAAATTTGCTGCCTATGAAGAAACCTAGCGATCGTAATTTTACTGTGTCCCCAATAATGTTGTAAAATTCTAGAAACTATAGGTCTAAAGGTATAGTTAAGCGCTCAGTCCGTGACTGAGGCATGGTAGCTGTACGAGAGGTTTTGAACCTTCGTTTGTGACCTGTCATCCGCTTTACAATGGAGGGAAGTCGAACCTTAATTTCGAACTCCTCCTATGTTCTTCTGATTAATTTCGTTTCGGGTCCAATGACAGTTTAACTTTCCCCCAGGACAAACTTGACCTTCATTGGTTGGGTTTTTATGGCGGTCAAGCTGTAGATCCTGGCTACACAGGAGTTGCAGTGGTGGGAACGAGAGGTGGGAATAGTCCCGTTAGCTGTACGCGAGACCCCTCTCGTACAGCTACCATGCCATACCCGAAAGAGTCTCGCTGACGTTTGACGTTTCAAAAACCACCCTCCAGTGCCGCTTCCATACCTTAGGCAGTTACGCGCTTGACCTAATCGTATAAGTAACTAACTAAGCCTTTGATATCAGACCATGACCATCAGATTGAAACCTAAAAATATCGCACAGCCCAAACTTTCCACGAGCATTATTAGCCCCACATTTAACTAAGCAATTAACACAATCAGAATGTAACGTGTGCAGATACAAATAAATCTTCGTGTCACTTGTCATTGACACCTTCGATCAATGTACCTGAATTTGTTCTGAGTGGAACGTGAGACGCGTGCGGAACGTCAACGAAACGCGTGCGGAACGCAGCTGGAACGCAGCGGGAACGCGACACGCGTAGCGCACCGAGGACAGGGCGAGGTGTTGGCAATTTATTGACGTGGAATCGTTTCTAAAGGTGAGAACCAAATTAGCAGGAAGGTAGGGCACTGGATAAGAAAATAAATTAGTACCCAAATANTGTAAAGCGCGGTATACGAGAAATAAACCAACGTCTCAATAATGATCGGTATATTACTGCTAGCACGGGTGCCCTTACTCGGAACTGGCTTCCAAACCTGGACAACATTATCCAACTTTTCGCTCAGGTGGAATATTCCTTCCACCTGACACAAATTCTTACCGGTCACGGCTATCACCGACAATACTTACATCGGTTCAAGATAGCTGAGACCGACAAGTGTAATTGCGATCCAAATGCTGTCCAGGATATACTCCATCTACNGTTTTTCATCACAACACTATCATTTATCTCAGACTGAAACATATGTGTATTCAGGTGGAATATTCCTTCCACCTGACACAAATTCTTACCGGTCACGGCTATCACCGACAATACTTACATCGGTTCAAGATAGCTGAGACCGACAAGTGTAATTGCGATCCAAATGCTGTCCAGGATATACTCCATCTACTCAAAGACTGTCCGCGTTTTATCCGGCAAAGAGTGCAACATATGGCTATATGCCAGTACCTTAAAGTAAAACCTTTTGAAATATCGGACCTGTTAAAGAGGGAAAGCACCATCAAATTATTCATAGAACTGTGTAAATATATTGTAAATCATTTAAAAGAATACAATAGTACTTAAGAAATAATATATTAAAAAAAAGTGCATAAATGTAAAATAAAAAAAATAATAAAAAAACAAAACCTCTAAAAAAAAACAATCTTACTTATTTTGTTGATTTTAAACCATGTACATAAATGTGTGTAAAGTATGGAGCCTACAAGTTTGCTCGTATACATTGGCGAGAAGCTACTAGCACTCTCTAAATATGTACATTCATTTGTCTGCATATTTAAAATACCATTACCTTGCAAAAACCAAACTCCGGTAATTTAGGCTGGAGTTAAAAAAAAAAATTCTGAATTGAATTTATTTCAAACCTTGAGCAATTTAGTAGAACGTCAATTTACATTACATTTACAGGAGAATTAACGAAAGTCTAAAGAAATTACAACCATTCTCTAAAATAAATTACCTACCCGAAACAATACAAATCATATCCATCAGTATCTGAAAACATTTGAAAAGTTTAAACAANTGTATTTCTCCAAAAAAAGCAGCTCAAAAATTATTCGTTTAATACATTGAGTTACCTATAATGTAGTTTAATATCAAAATTCCTCCACCACATTGTATGTTTATTTTTACTTAACTTACCTTTCCATAAATTCTACAATCGGTTTAAACGGATAGGCGCAGGTTCTCATTTTCCTATCGTGGTTAAAATCCAATTTTTTGTGGAAAATTATTCATCAATAATCCTTCAACAAAACATGTTTTGTTATCTGTTGTCATGACAACAGCTGTGTCAAAGTCGCAATGACAAGAAATAAACAATACAAATTTAAAATCATCATGTTAATTCAGCATTAAGCACTGTTCTAGGACACTTAAATTTTGCAGTGTTATTTTTGACATTTTTGTTATTTCCTACTCTATCTTTTCTATATAGTTAAAAAGGAGCGGCATTCGTTCTTTCATTCATCCATTCATAGAGTGTGAAGTTGGATACATTAACATGCTCACCAACATGACATCATAAAACCATCGAATTATCGCTAGCGAGTAAAGTATACGGTAATTGAACTCATGGTATGATTTTAATGCAAACTTCATCGATCCACGTTTAAACTCTATCGACTGTAGTATACGAATACAAGTTTTCGATGGCAACTCATGGTAGAGGCACAGAAAAACGAAAGAAAGTGACCAGTGTTACATTTCATAAGTAAGTACTACAATTCGACGCGTATTTTGCTTGAATTTGGCTTTCAAAAATTAAATACGGGAATGATACCAGTAACAAGAAAATTTATTTCCCAATTGTTCGCCGTACAAATACACTTCCTTTTTTATGAAATCGACACTTTTAAGTCGATTTATCTTATTGTTATTAGGTAGGAATTTTGAATTCAATAAATAAGTAAGTACATGATGCGTTCTGTTTTTGTTAATTATAAAATAATTAGAAACGTATTAAAAATTTCCCTACTTTCGGGAAAATCGCCTTCACTGTCTACACTCCCCAACAAAATTGACACTAATGACATAAGATTTTTGCCTCACTCTTGACGAAGCGTTTGTATGAAGACTATCCATCTAGGTTTTATTAATCTAAGATCACAACACTATCATTTATCACAGAATGAAACATATTCAATTCTGAATTGAATTTATTTCAAACATTGAGCAATTAGTAGAACATCAATTTACATTACATTTACAGGAGAATTAACGAAAGACTAAAGAAATTACAACCATTCTCTAAAATAAATTACCTACCCGAAACAATACAAATCATATCCATCAGTAATCTGAAAACATTTGAAAAAGTTTAAACAAACATTCGATACTAATTTCATCACTCCATAAACCATGGAAAGGTAACAAACGTGCAATATGGAACACGTTACTGATACGTTCCACGTAAAAATGTTCCGAAATGCAGGTGTTAAAAATCAACGAGAAAAAACGGTCGGCAAATAAAATCTAATCAGCGTAGATTTTCGAGGAGCAAAATAAATAGCGGCGAACAGAAATAAACACACGGCTCCGCGTCCGGTAGCGTGTGAATTACCTGTTGGTTTTACTGAAATGTTTGATGCGTTTGCGCTTGATCGATATTTATAGCGCGACCGGAGGGAGTTGATACTTGAGAACATTTTGTAATTTCCTGGTCAGTTATGTTTAACTTTAAAGATAGAAATAAATGAGTATGGTCACTTACACACCGCTTTCAAACTAACTACAAGTGAAGTAGTGTAATAAATAGTGGCGGTTTGGATGGTTTCAGTTGCAGAGTTTAATTCTAGAAAGATAAGCTACGATAGACGTTTTAAACTCATAACTTCTGACATCGAATTATTTCAATCACTGGGATAAATTTAAGAAAAATCTAAAAAATATATATTTTGTCTAAATACTAAAGTACGAGTACGTCCCAGTTAATATTGCTGTATCATATAGGTATATGACTGCATTCTTAGATGGAATATTAAGGAGAATTGTGAGAAAGTAAGCTCAAATATAACAAAGCACCAAACCAAAAACATATAATAGTAAATGATCAAAGTCTCATGCGCGTAGTACGTCCCGTAAACGGTCGGCCATGTGTTTCTTGTTCGGTGCGCGCGCGCCGCAATTCGGTCGCAATCAACATTACACCTGCCCGATATTTATTGGGGGCCCGCATTTATGAGGAAACCCTTGTGATTTCATCATCATGGAATTCATCAACAGCTACGCTTTCGACAACAAAATGAAATAACGAAAAAAAGGCTAAACAAAGAACTGTAAAGACAGAACAGATAATGATAAACTGAAGCATTCTTTGTTGGGTTTCATTAGCAAAAAGCAGCTAAAAAAAAGTAGCAGCTATGCTGAAAATCATAAACTTTCTATACGACTACCCACAGCTGTTGCAGTTGCAGTGTGAGAAACAAGTGATATAATACGACGGAACTGACACGAGTGTAAGATTGATTGTACAAGATCTACCTACTATCTACTCCGATTTGTATACTGCTGGAAAAGGCCACGGATTTCCACAAATAACGAATCAATAAGTAGTACTACCACCATACAACGACGGATTCGCCAGAACCCTGCACATCCACGACGCAACTCATGCCTGCACAGTTTTTATATTATGCGCTATTTCCAATCTCGTACTCCTGCGTGTTTATATTATTTGATGGGCGCCGTTCTAAAATCTTCATAAGAGTTTTCTTGTTGATGCTAACCCGGTATTTGGTATACACAGTTTTTATTCGGATGACGTTTGTAAATACGCGTCTAGGTGCGCTGGAATAAATTCTTTTAGCAAAATAAACTTAATTTTATTACTTTTCAGAAAAAAATTTCGTCGGAATCGTACCGTAAGAATTTTAGTACCGAGTGAATTGATGGTTTTACAGTCATATTAAAGTTACTACATTTCTTTTCGGTTTTACAGGCTCTTCAATACAAACAATTTTTGCTGTAAGATCAACATTAAAAGTGTGAAAAAGCACATGCTTCAAACATTGCTTTGCATTGCACTAAATACACTCGGCGTCAAATAAATCGCACTTCCTACGACAACAATATACATACCCTTGAAAGCATTAGTCGCGGGAGGTGCGATTTCTTTGAAGCCGAGTGTATAATCTATACTAATATTATAAATGCGAAAGTAGCTCTGTCTGTCTGTCTTGCTTTCACGCCTTTGTTTGAGTTTGAGTCCCGGGAAAGGACATACTAGGATAGTTTTTATCCCGGTTTTTGAAACAAGGACGCGAGCGATAGTTTTTCTGTGACAGACAAAATTCCACGCGGGCGAACCGCGGTCGGAAAGCTAGTAGAAGATAAATGAGACTGTTTCCATATCTTGTTCTTCCTTAGCAACTTTTGTCTACCTAGAATTTATAATTTACGGCAATACTTATTTTCACGAAATCCAGTTCGTATTCGAGTAACCTATATCCGTTTTCCAATTGACAAAGGCACAAATAAAACTCAAAGTTTTTTGCCATTAAATAAAAGAAGAAGACGATACAATTTTCACTGCTTTCAGGAAACCATATTATTATTATAAGATCGGACAAAGGTAAGAACAAATAGTTAATTAGTAAACAGTTACAAAACCAGTGTACCTATCACCCACCATGATAACAGTTCTAAAGTTCGTTCAGTTAAACTGTAGTCTGAACAAACAGTAAGTATGTAAAGTTTCTTCAGTAATAACAGTATTACCAAGCAGTACATAGCTACACCTGCTTTTATCTGCGCGGAGACAAAGCAAACGAACCACTTAGACGCCGTAGTTAAAACGCTCATTATGAGCTGCTGATGAGAATACGTTATAGGGATGGGACAGGGGCAGTATCGATACTAATGTTCTATCGATAATGTAGCGGAATATGTTTTAATAAAAAGTCATTGAACCTTTATAGTTGAATTTCAATAGAAATGTTGGGATAATTTTAAAGATAATTTAAAGAAAAAGTATGTTAGATACAATGCTGACGTGAAGTCTTTTATGTTTTTTATTTAATAAATGAAAATGTAGAGACGAAGTAGAACCCATGTGTAGGTGAAACTAACTTCTGAATATGAAACAACCACATCATACTAAAGACTCATAATCTAGACTCCTAAGGCCCTTAATACATTTATCCGAGAATAACTCATGGTATAACTAGCACATTGAAAGTTTCAATATGGGAAAATGTCCAAAATTAATGTCGAATAACTGACGATTTATTCTGAGATTAATATTTACTCTTGTTTGGTCGAATCCACCCTAAAACATGACAGAAAGACGCTGGATGCTGGCTGGGCATATACCAATACCAACCGGGTTATATGGAAATCGTGGAGGAAGACCTATGTTCAGCAGTGGAATGGAAAGAAAGTTAGCAAAAACTATGACCGAGCACAACAAACAACAACACAGAATATTTAGCAGACTAAAAATGGTAGGTATCTATCGATAGTCATAGGTAAGCACATCACTTAACCAACATTAGGGCTGATACAAAATGAAATTATACAACG